TTTTTTTTTTTTTTTTTTTTTCCCCTTTTTCTTTTTTTTTTTTTTTTTTTTTTTTTTTTTTTTTTTTTTTTTATGCACCAGGGAGGTTCTAACTGCCATTTTCAAGACGAACTGGATCCTGAATGTAGATTTTAACATATACAGAAAAGAATATTGATTAAAAATTTCCAAGTCAAATTAAAGCTAATATTCTGTCACCATCTGCAACAATAGTGATTTTCATTTGATTAGGCTGCTGGCTGACCTATAATTCAAGACCAATGGCTGACAAATATGTCAGTTCATTAAGCTATTTGTTTAAAATTGAGACTTTGAGGAATGTTTTAACACAGTTAAAGCTAGGCCATTTATTAATAGTCCAGTGGTCGAAAACCAGGGCCTTCCTCAGTACTGATTTCATTTTATTCAGTTTCTAAGGCTAGTTTCCTCAGTGACCAGAAGGTGAATTATCTTTAAATAAAGAAAATTTTGTATACTGAAAGCTCCTATCACCCTTTAACAGGGTATCTCAATCTTGGTAACATTTTGGGCCAGATTACTCTTTGTTGTGGGAGACTGTCCTATGTATTGTATGATGTTTAGTGGCATCCTTGGCCTTTGTCCACTACATGCCAGCAGTAACTCCCATCCCGACCTGTGACAATCAGAAATACATCCAGGTATTACCAAATGTCTCCTGGGGAGCAAAGTCACCCTCAGTTGAGAAGAATCTATGCCATATTTTAGGAATTTTATTTCTAACTGTATCATAGAAATTAAATGCAAGAATTCAGAGGTAATCACCAAGGTAATGAAATACAGACCCAGACTTCCTGTTTGAGCACTTCCTCACTATGTACCTCAGACCATTTATTTAATCTCTCTGTGCCTCAATTTCTTTTTTTTTTTTTTCCTTTTTGTCTTTTTTTTTACTGCCCGGCAACGGGATCGCAACCCTCGGTGTTGCGCCCGTACCAGGGACCGGCAACGGGATCGCAACCCTCGGTGTTGCGCCCGTACCAGGGACCGGCAACGGGATCGCAACCCTCGGTGTTGCGCCCGTACCAGGGACCGGCAACGGGATCGCAACCCTCGGTGTTGCGCCCGCACCTCGCTCAGCCAGTGAGCGGGAACCGGTCTCCACATGGGATCCAAACCCTTGGCGGGAGCGCCGCCGTGCTCCCAAGCGGCGCACTCTCCAGTGCGCCACCGGGCTGGCCCTGTGCCTCAATTTCTTTGTCTATTAAATGGGGATAATAACAGCAACTACATCAATGAGTTGTTTAAGGACTTATAGTGTAATGCACTTAGAAATCTGCCTACCTGGCACCTAGTAAGCATTATATAAACATATAAATATTAATAATATAGCTTTTGTTTATATTAAACACTATGTTTTTATTTTCTAGTAGAGAAATACTGAAACTGGTGTAGTTGAATCTTCTCACATATAAAATAAAGCAAATAACTTGAAACCCAGTACATTCATTGGTAGAAACCTATAATTTCACATGTATCCATTTGAAAAGTATACTAAGAATTTTAGAGTTAGAAGGAATTTTAACAAATATAGATATAAATTTTAAAAACTTTCGGTATGTAACAGGCAGTTAAAATGTGAGAAAGAATCTGTAGGCCGAAAACCATAGAAAAGAACAAAGTTTCTCTGTTTAGAACTTAAGCCATTTACTCAAAACCATACCTTGTGACTGGTGCCACATAATTGCCAGGAAAAACCCCTATCTTGCTGGTATGCATTGATGTGCCTTTGAACCAGCCATCCTGGCAACGTTCAAACACTAAAAACATCTCCCCTTTTCTCAGCTCTAGCTCATCCTCTTTCCGGGGAGTATATGGATATATAGCAACATACCTAGAATAGAAAAAAAAATTTTGATTTCAGGCTGAGTAACAGACAAACCCCAAGATGCTCAAAACTCTTCTTTGCTACAAAGTCTTGAGTATTTTGTACAAATGTAAACACAAAGTATAACCCTTTAACCTGTAAATTGCATTGGCAACTCTCCTTTGAAAGAGGTTTTGCTGTCTACGTTTTAAATATAGGCAGAAGCCTTCCGGATTAAGAACTGCTGAACCTGCTCCTCCCAGTGTGGAAGTGACTATCCCACCAAATGGTATTTGTGTACTGTGGAAGAATTAATACAGCTTCCAAGACTGCCTAACTTGCTGCTAAAGATTAGGTACCCACCAGGAAAACTGAGCTTCTCAAATGGCACTTTTTAGACTTGGGAAGTAGCCCCAAATAGACATATTGTATGAAATCCACTGGGAAGCACAACATGCTGCCTTCCACATACAAGCTGAACCTGGAAGCTTGAGCTGCACCTGCTTTTATATGCTCATATGCTCAGCCAGGAAGAAGACTGAGTTTGAAAAGGTCAAAGGAAAACAAAGTCTAGATCATAGAGAGTGCGAAACAATTCCACAATGCAAGGTAATTGTACCTACCAACACACAGAAACCAGGCAGGCAACACTAACTTATAGTTCTTACCAGTGCTCTAAACTGTTTGTGTATAAATTCACACAATGCAGGATCCACAAAAATCTAGTTGTATTCTGCCATCAGAAAACCCTGAACATGGGGCCGGCCCGGTGGAGCACTGGATAAGTGCGCCGCTTGGGAAGCGCGGCGGCGCTCCCACCCGAGGGTTCGGATCCCACATACAGACCGGTTCCCGCTCGCTGGCTGAGCGAGGCGCGGGAGCAACACCGAGGGTTGCAATCCCGTTGCCGGTCCCCGGTCCGGTCCGGGGGCAACACTGAGGGTTGCGATCTGTTGCCGGACACGGAAAAAGACAAAAGACAAAAAAAAAAAGAAAACCCTGAACAGAATAATGAGAAATTTCTGGATACTTATTGCTGGGGAATTTTTACATGCATACTCCAACTAGATCTAGATCAACTAGATCTAGATCTGAGTTGTGTGGAATATCTTCCTGTTCCTTACTGTCCTAATGCAAGGAATGAAAATGAAGACAAAAAGCTCAAACAAAAAAGGCAGTTCTGTACTCACATAATATTATAAAGAAGTAAACAGCATGTTTCCCTAAACTATGAAAGGCCTTCACTTAGCAAGATAGCTACTGAGCAAGCTCATGCATTAGACCTATTTTGTTTCAGCAGTTTCCTAATTATATGCATGACCAGATAGAAGTCTGCAGAACACAAACCACTTGGTGAGCCATAAGCCTGTCACCGGCTCATACCAGAAAGGTGTTTCTCCACCTCTGCTATTTGGACTTAATTTTAAATGAATGCTTAAGCAGTAATAAATGACACCCTCACTTACACGCTGGGGCGAGTCTGAGGCCGTAAATGTGCAATCTGGTCAGTGGATCCTGCCGTAGGCCTTGGTCCCATTCCAGCAGCAACAGCGCCTGGCGGTGTGGAGGTGAGGACAGTGGCAGCCAGGAGAGGGGGTGGGGGAAGAGGAGGATTCATAGTCTGGTATAGGAAACAAATAAGGAGGAGGGGGGAAGGAACAAAATATTTATTTACATCTACTATGGAAGGTAGGAGGGAAAAGGAATCAAATCCAGAGAACACGACTTTAATGGAATGCACACAGAGCAGAACCAGCAGGCTACTTCGTATGAAAAGCCCCCTTTTAAAAATTCATCTCTTGTTCTCCTTTATGATCTTAAAGCCACAACAACTTATTCAGCAAATAGGTAAGTAATCACTCTTGGAAGGAGGGAAAGAAAAAATGAAACGACTGCACGTAATTTTAAGATTAATAGCACTTTTAAGTATAGACTTGGACAAGAATACAAATGTCTTTCGAGGGGGCAACTATAACATCACGCAGCTTGTTAGGAATTAATTTGTGATTGTTTCTGTAATCCGAAACTTAAAACACAACAAAAAACAATTCAGTTGCACTATATCTCAAATCATTTCTTCAGAAGAAAATTTCCTTTGATGCCTGGTCTTCAAAAAGCCCAAACAATGGCAAGCCACAGTCACGGGGTATTATTGCTACTTTTGCTTATTCTTTACTTTGCCAGCTTTTGAAATTTAGTACTATCAAGGCTGGTAATCTTTAACAAGTACACCAGTGAAAAGCTGTTGGTTACTTTATGGGCACAGCCTAATGGGCTTCTGCCTACAGGATTCCATGCCTTTAGAAAATCAATGGAGCAATTGTTACCTTCTGATCTATAAACCCCAGATAATTCTTTAGGGTCTGTATACTGAAACTCCTGGGAAAACAGGCACACAAAGACCGCCTGAATCTCCACCTCACCCTCCCCAAATCTTTGAGCCACGAGATGTAAAAACTGAATCAATGGAGAAATAAGGAGACTAAAGAATGCACCTAGGAAAGCATGATGTTTCTACACATCAGCATATTAAAAAGAAAAAACCAATGATTTTTAAACACAGTTCTTAACAGTCATTTTATTTTTCAGAATAAAAATTTAAATGTTTAACTTCATCTGTCTGTTAATGTACATATTTCCAGGAACCTAATAAACAAAGTAGAAAAAATGTCTAATTTCTAGACATATGTTGCAACTGTTTCACACACTATATTTAATTTTTAGCTAAAGAGACTTTCAGTCAAGATTTTCCCACACTGCAGCTGAAGTTGCTGCAGAACATTTAGTGCAGAAATAAATGAGGTGCAGAGCTGCTTACAGAGTGCTAACCTGGACAAGGCAGAGGTTGGTTCAAAAAGTTAGAACATCATGAAAAAGTTACTCACTTTCTCCATACAACACATGACAGCATTAAGATTTGTTATAGCTCTGGAATTCGCACATTCTGAGGCTTAGAGCCTCCGAAACCTTTAAGCAGAAGAAGGTCAAGCATTCATTCCATTCGGCCTCCTTCCAGTGACAAAGTAGAAAGAAGTAAAGATAATCCTGGTAAAATACTCAGCAAATGTGACCTGAGCAGTTCATGGATAGTAATGCATCAGCAGCTTGATGAATGAGATAAGTCTACACTGCACATAGAGTAATATATGGAAAAACTAAAAAATTACCACTTAACTGATTTCCATTCAAATCTTTCTATGCCCAAGCTCAAAACAGAGTGGCTGTGGAAAGGCAGAAGACAAATGGCATGTACTCAACAAGGTCACTGAAATTGTCTATTATATCTTAAGAAACAGATGATGTGCTAGATTGGCCGTAAGAAGAAAAAGGTAAAAAACATCTATGGGCCTAATAAAAACATGTTAAATTTTATTTAAAAAATGTAAAGAAAGTTCACTTCTTATTACAAAATACAATAAGCAAATGTTTCACATACATTACTTTTGTAAAGAGTATAAGTTAGGCATTGAGGGGCTGGCCAGTTAACTCCACTGGTTAGAGTGCAGTGTTGATAACACCAAGGCCAAGGGTTCAGATCTCCATACCAGCCAGCACCCTGCCCCCCCACCCAAAAAAAGAAAGAAAGAAAAAAAAAGTTAGGCACTGAGAAATGGCATAAGAGAGGATATTCTGAAAGATCCCAATTTTGCAGTTGAAACTTAGATGGTCTTAATAAAATTAGGCAGATTTTCCCCCAATGCTGGGTAAATGTGCATATGTGTTTGCATGTGTTTTTGTATGTACATAAGCACACAGACGAAGACCAACAGAGAAAGTCTGATTAAAATCAGATCCCTAGATGTTACTCAGCCCTGTGGGGTTGGTAAAATGATAGGGCTCTGGTAAGTCTAGGGCTATGACAGACTAGGAAGTTTTGTGGGTTGCTTTATAAACAGCCTAAACTGAAATACTCTGATGATGCGGAAGTTCAAAAGGTAATCCACTGTATATTGTGCTCCAGGCAGTTTGCTATCCTGCAAGACCTGAAATTTCTACAGAGTAAACCACAGCTTTTCATTCACACACAGCTGACCTGAAGACCTGCCTATTATCTGTACTCTGGACCAGCCCAGGCACCAGAAGCCAAAACGCACTCTCCACCACCAGCAAAAACCATCTGTGGACCTGTTAGAAACACAGGTCACATTTTGTTAACAATATTTTGCTCATTAAAAACAGAACTTAGGAATGGCCTGCTAATGTGAAATGGTTATATTTTGCCATGTTTCAAGATCGCCTGACCCACTGATCTTGAAAGAAGAAACAGCTTTGCG